AAAGGAATGATGGGCAGAATAGGAAGCTACATGCACAGGAGCTGCATTTTTGTGGGGCACAGTTACAAGGCGTAGCTGTCCCCCACACATACCTAGTGGGGATGATGGCAGGTTCAAGTGCTAGAAAATAGCTCATGGCCTAATAAAAACCTTCCCAAAATAACAAGCTCACTTTTTTTTTAGGGTATCTGATTTCTGGCTTTTCCTTTTTGGTGTTAAATTTTAGGCCATGAAGGCTGCAGGGTCTCCGATTGCCCAGCAAAGAGTTTATTGTCAGCAAACCGATCCCTCCACTGTTTCCTTCTGCACATTCTCTGTGGAGACTGACTGCTATGAATACACAGCTCTGGGCTTAAACCACAGGCAGGACCATTCATTCCTGCAAGCGGAGAAGGTGGCTTTTGTGGTATGACAGAGCTGGAGCCACCATCCCACTCCATAGAGGACATTCTGGATGGAGTTTCACCTCCTAGCTCATCTGAGCTGTGGGCTACCAGAGAATGGGAGGTGCTGACCTCCCTCCCTCACTCCCTCCACATGGTGTCCCTGCTGCGTGAAGCCCAGAGACTGCTGCCACAGGAGACTAATCCAGCAGGATATGGATGCATTTCCCATGGGATCAGTGAACTGATCCAAATCACCAAGCAGGCATGTGATTGCTAATGCAAGGGCTGGAGCCAGGGCTGGGAGAAAGGAAGATTGGGATCAGCACTTTGGCAGTAGACTGCAGTTAAGTTGGATTAAACACAGCACAAAGCTGTACTCTGAAAAACTCATCACATCATGATGATTTTCATTTGGTAACTACACTCCAGAGTGACAACTGGTACTTGCAGGAATCCATATGTTTATTTATTCAACTGATGAATACAATACACTTCTGTCAACTCAAGATTTTACAGGTAACAGCTGGTATATAATGAAATTAATGAAGAGTAAAAAATGAGATAATCCTGGAATTAAAATAGTGAAGTAGTGCAGTCAGTTTTAAGACTGCTACTTATCAGTTATCAATGAGATACAGTGCAATTTTTTTCTGCTGGGACAACTGTAACCTGCAAGCAAACATTTCACATCTGTGATGACATGGACTGTCTAAGGCACCTGTCTCAGCATAATTACAGGGTCACAGAATCACAGAATAGTTTGGGTGGAAGGAACCTTTAAAGGTCATCTAGTCCAACCCCCCTGTTGGGGATAGGAACATTTCTAATAGACCAGGATGCTCAGAGCACAGTCCAATCAGACCTTTAATGTTTGCAGGGATGTGGCATCCATCTGCCACCTCACTGGGCAACCTGTTCCAGTGTTTTATCACCCTCCTTGTAAAAAACTTCTTCCTTCTATCTAATCTAAATTGACTCTATTTTAGTTTAAAACCATTAAAGGTCACCCTTAATGGATCCATTTAGTCCAGAGAGTTTGCTAGTCTGCTGTCTACACAGGCCTTAACCTGAGATAACTGATGTTTCCATTATAAAATGTGAAATGTGAGAAGAAGATAGAGAAGGTACATTTTGTTCCATTTGCATATGTTTGGTTTGTGTGACAAGGGGCTAAGAGGAAGGCTTATAAAAAGTAAGATATAATGCAATGATGCTCTTCAGGGGCAGAGGCAGTAAAATCAATCTCATGTTTCTTAACAAGCTCTAGGTCTCCATCTAATTTTAATTGTCTGCCTGGAATACTAAAATACTTTCAGGCACTTCTATTCTGCTCATTATTAATAAACAGCATATAACACTCAAGATGTTCCTTCCATTTCCTGCCTCATTCTGGCTCATCCATTATGATTCTCAGTGCTACAAGAAAGTGAATTTTCTTCTATTACAAATCTCAAAAACCTGCCGTTTTCTATAAGTGATATGAATAACATCACTACAGGAAGCGAAATATACACAAAATAGCATGTTTTATACAAACATGGAAAAAAAGGGCTTTTTCCTTGGGGAACATAATTTAATAACCAAATTTTTCCCCTTCAGCATCTACAAGACCTAAATTAGAATGCCATTGTTTGAACTTCCAGTTCTACTTTTGTAATTGACAAAACCATTTTCTGACAACGTAAATGCACAGCCAAATCTAGCTGTGGAAGGCAAGCTGTGTGCTTTTGAAACTACACAAGCTTCCTCTGCTGGAAGAAATACACAGCTGCAGGGCTACCCATGGCATCTTGAGAGGAAGAAAGGCTCCACCATGAACTTTGTAGAAGGGACACCCTTTCCAACGGAAATTGAAACCTGAAATTTTAAAATTTTGGTGGAAACAGAGAAAACTCCAGTGGTTTTGTAGGTGTATCATTGCTGCCTAGTTTGGAAGTACACTGGAAACTAATCTTGTGGGGCATACACAACCAAAAGCAGGGAAAACATCAGTCCTGGACAACAGAGGAATATTTTTTGTTATTTACAGGGAAATGTGCTTTTATCACTAAACTTTTTTTTTTTAAATAAAATTGCATCCTAACCTTCTCTGGTTCCTTGGCTCATTCCTGGGAGACTAAGTTGCTGTTTGAGCAATTCTCCCAGAAAGGAAAGCTGAAAGAACTGGACATTGATCTGGAAAGAGAAGCACAGTCAGGACGACTCAGTGTGCAGAAATGAACGTACTTATATCTGGTTTAGATATTTAGATATTTCATGTTTATAAAGTTTTACCAGGAAGCTGCTTTTCTGTAGGGCCACATTGAGGATATTTACAGCACTCTGACATTCTTCTGCTCTGCTGAAGGAGCCCATTTTTAGTGCTGAGCCCCCATCTGCTGGCATGTCACTCAGCAGTCACTCACTCTGAGATTTTTCTTCAGCTCCTTGGGCTTTTAGTTTCTCCCTCATGATGATTGGCAATATGAGACTGTCAATTTTCTTTAGTCTATTTCCTAGCTCATTCATGGATATGCTGAGCAAGATGGGTCCCATATTGGTCCTGCAACAGCCTACTAGTAACACCCCCCTCTGTGAAAGGTTTTTGTCTTTTTCTTTCCTCTCTATCTTCAGTTAGAGACCCCTGTGAGGACCTCCCCTCTTGCCCCAGGAGCACTTAAATTCTTAAAGGTCCATTTGTGAAGAATGTTGTTAAAGCTGCTGTGCATTGTGTGATACAGGCAAGAGTCACACTTTTATTATTATAAATTTAAAACAAGCTGGGTTCCTGGTACGCCTTTCATATTAGAAAACACCAATGATCTTACATTGTTCATTTGAGAAGTTTCAGTCTTTGTCAGTAAACATTTTTTCTTCACTGGTATTTATAAGAAAAAGTTCACAGTCACAGCCTTTACAATTACGTAATCATATTTTTCTTTTGTAACTTTTATCTTACTGTTAGAGACTGAAATGTTATAATTTATGGCTTAAACATAACCAGCAAGGCAGAAAATCTCTGTATATGCAAAGTATCATGTGAAATTGAAAGCAAACCAGTTATTGAGAAGTTGATACATAAAATAAATTGGATTTTTGAATGCTTGGAACATCTGGCTTCAAAAAGATACATCAGGGAACTGTCTTAATGATAAGAAGTGTTTATTTTTGAAGTCTCAGTCATTGTATTGAGATGGCTGGCTAGTATAACATGTAATCATTCTATTTAATAAAGATTTCTGCCTTTCTTTGGACTACAATAAAAAAAATCTTTTTTTTTTTTTTTAATAAGAGCATTGCAAAAATGCTTTAGAAAACAATCTAAATAGAGAGTTTGATACTGATTCTCATGACTGTTATTTGATTTTTGATTTGAATGAAAAGATTTTACATTTCTTTGAAAATTACATACCAGAAAACAGTAAAAACTTGTTCATATTTCCTGAAGCCAAACCCCACAGAATCTCAACTCCACCCCAGCATTAAGGAAATTTTCAACTCATTCATGAACAACTGAAAAAGGAATCCTCGTTTCCTGTTTCACTGTACTCAAGGGCCGATATAGTTTCTCAGGTAAAAAACCAAAGTGCTTGTGTGTGGGCACACTTATTTGCCTGCATAAGGCTGTTGGCTAGTTTTATTTGAATAATACTCTGAGTAGACATTTATGTATCTCCAAGTTTCAGGAAAACCAGATTGTGTAGCATTAACTCAGCCCACATAAGACAACAAAGAATATCATAACTGTAGAAAAAACTTCAGTGGAAGTTCCAACCACATTTCAATAAGGCCATTTTCTATTTTCAAATGCTTCTTGCAGTTAAGAGATTTGTACAAACTTTAGTAATTATCTAATGAAAAGCAACTTGTGCTGCAGTGGATGCTCGCATCATTTAAAAAAATCACTCGAAAAGACAGCGAGCCTCGCTGTCCTATGGATCCCCGCCCCACCGGGACTGACAGGTTTCAAAAACTTTTAACACTCATGAAACTCCCTAGGTTTTTGTGTCTGGCGGAAAAAGGAGAGAATCTTAGGGTATTCCATAGCACATGGGAAGCTGCGCGACTGAGCTGCTAAATTCCAGTTGTAACAAAGAAGAGAACATTGTCGAGTTCTCAAGGGATTTGCATGCACGCAGAACTTCAGCGTGGGAGAGACCTCAGTGCTGACCCACTGTGCTCCCGCTTAGGAACTACAGGAGAAGAACGACTGGCATTTTGGGCTGGGGCTTCTGCAGCTTCTGACAGCAAGCCAAGCGCTTCCTGGCAGCGCAGCCTTCGGCGGAGCACCGGCCTTGCGGTGCCTTCCCCGGGCCCGGGCCGAGGGGCGGCGGCAGCAGCGCGGCCCCGCCGTGAGGGGAGCCTGCCGCGCCCATGGCGGCGGGCGGGCGGGCAGGTACCGCGCACGGCAGGCGGGGCCGCCGCCGCTCCGCCCCCTCCTCCTTCGCCTCCTCCTCCCGCCTCAGGTTTGTCATCGTGTCGCCGGCACGGCCCGGAGGAGGAGGAGGGATGAGGAAGCCGCTGCCGCCTTTGCATCCGTGACGGGGGCCTGGAGAGCCCGGGCTTGGGACGGCCCCTTTCCCACCGCCGGCGCACAGGCGCTGCTCGCCCGGGGAAAGGGCCAGGAGGAGGAGGAGGAGGAGGAGGAGGACGGCGGTGCTGTGTGTGAGAGAGCGTGGAGATGAGCTCAGCTCTGTGTCCTGGAGCCGCCTGAGGAGACCCGGCTGCCTCCCAGCCTCCCTCGCCGCCGCCGCCATGGCTCACTCCCCCGTGCAGGCGGGGCTGCCGGGGATGCAGGTGAGCGGCTGCCCCAAGGGCAGGCACGGACACGCACCCCGGGCCGGGCTGGGTGTCAAGGGGGAATTCCCGGGGCTGGGGGGACAGGGCGAGGGGAAAAAGCGTCTCTTGGCCCTGGCTCGGCCGCAGGGGCTGGGCTGGGGGCAGAGGAGCGGGATGGAGACGAAAGGTGCTGTCAGCGCCTGGCGTGGAGCCCAGCGAGGTCCCTCCGCCCGGCGGTCCCTGCCTGCCTCCGCCGCCCTCCATCCGTGCTCGGCAGCCGCTCTGTCGCTGCGGGCGTGCGGAGCGGAGCGGGTGGCCCCCTCCCCCGGCCGGGAGTTCTTCTCGGTGTTTTAATTCCTGAAGGCAGCCGCGGCTCAGTGGGCGATTTTCGGCCCCGTTAGTTTGAGGTGCGTAGGGGAAGCATACGTACAACCAGTCCGTACAAGCAGGGCCTGGAAATGTTGACCTTCAACGCATGCTGCAGTGTCCATGTCTGTGGTGCTGCTCCGTGGTGGGTGCTCGGGGATCGTGTTTGGCTCCTGTGTTTGATTCCGAGAGTTGGTCAGCTGCTGTTGTTATGCGGTGGAATTTGCTCGTTCTGTGTCTTAACTATATATTTGAAATAACCTAGTGCGTTTTTGTGCTGGCTGAGCTGGCTCAGTCTGAGCCTCCCCCCCACACACACCTCGTTTTTCTTGGTTTGAATGGAAGCTGCTGCCAGGAAAACATTAAGGTCATTGGTATCTGTGTGTTGTTACTGTAATATTTCCCACATCTGATTAGAAACTTTCTTGTCCTTATCTCCAAAGGAATAACTTCTGAATGACATGTAAGAGTCTCTCTCAAATTTGTTCTCTGGATTGAAAGTGTCTGTGCATAATTTGGTTTAAATATTGATTTACCGTGGTTTGTTTTATTGTGAGTCAGGATTCTAAGTCATGAATCTCTTTTCTTTCCAAAATCTGAGGATTTGAATTGAAAATGTTACATGCTTAGGCATAGCATGAATTATGTGCTCATACATAGTACCGGATGCCCCGTAGCCTATGTAGGCCCACTCTCTGAGCTAATTAATTTATTGCTGTGTAGGTCCTGCTGTTGAGAGTTCAAGTTCACCTTCCAAATATGAGCAGTTTGCTGATTGCCAGAGACAGAGGAATGAGGGTTTCTTGGTTGGCTATGGATATTGTTTGGGCTTTTTTTTATTCCTTTGAGACATATTAGAAATAAGACAACTACCTACTTTGAGACAAAACCTATAACACTTTAGCATTTAAAAATCAGATTTGTAGCTGCTTGGAAGGGAGGGAATGAAGATTATTCCATCAGTATGCATGTACTGATGATGTATGTCACTGCATGATTCAAGGACCTCTGCTTTTTATTGACTTGATTTATTATTTGCTTTGTAGTACTGTTAGCTGTACTAAATGTGTGGATCTTCAGGGTTCTTGTTAGTCTATGTAATTTGGGACTTTGCTTCAAATAGTTTTATTCAAAATAGTGGGTTTTTTTCATGATTTTTATTCTATTACTATGAGAGTTGCTCAAGTGTGAATTTTCATGGTCTAAAGAAAATCCCCAGAACACCAAACTGGAGATCTGCTGATAGGTAAAGGCATAAAATCTGTGAGTAATGTGAATGCTGCTTACTAATTGTCTGTGCCCAGTTCAAGATGTCTATATCCATTTCCATTCTGTCAGAATATATAGCAGTTTTCTAGCGGTCTGTTTTCAGTACACGATTCTCTTTGACTTTACTTCCAAATAAATGTTCAAAGAGTAAAGTGCATACAATGTGTGACATCTGCTAAGATAAGAAAAAGATTTGGGACTTTTTTGTTGTGTAGAAGAGAGGAATAGAGCTTAGTTCTCTGGGTTATAATTAAATTTCCTAAATCACGGGACTATCTCTTCTTTTTCTGTAGTGTGATCCCTCCTCCCCACCTACCAGCTTCTGCCACAAACGATGCAAGCAGTGTCAGTGACAAGTTGTGCAGCTTTCTCTGACATTCTTTGCTGTGCTCACACAAGAGAGCAGCCATTGTGCTTGTGTGAGCAGGGTAACTTCTTGGCCCCAAAAAATTACTTGGAGGGACATCACTTTATTAATGCTGTTTGGCGTCAGCATGTTAGTGTCAGTAGAGCAGAGGAATAAAGGATTGATGTATTTCTCCCTAAGTAAGATGTCTGATCGATGTTTGAAGAGTGATGCATAAAATGAGTGGGTAGAGAGTGAGCCAAAGGAATGAAAAACTGTGGAGGAAATGTAGGATGGTGCTGGAAGGTTGTCAAAACCTGAGATTTGCTGTCTGCTGCACAGTGGGCATGTTGTAACCTGAATAAAAACAGAGTTGGGTTTTGACCTAAATTTCTGTGTGTGCAGTTTAAGTTTGGACTCAAAGTTTTTGCTGTTGTTGTTTTGAGGGCTCTGTATAGATATGAGTTTGAGTGTGCAGGGTGAAGCTGCATTATGACTAAACTGAGGATGTGTTGTCTTGCTTCTTCATGCCTTGTGGAAGTGGCCTGGGCAGAGTGTTTGCCTGTAAATGTGTGAGATTCCTGCAAGACTGGCTCGGAGTAAGTGTATGTATACGACCTTGATTTTTTAGACTGGCCTGCATTTTAAGGCTGTGGTAAGCTTCTGGAGCTTCTTTCAGGAAGCTGTACTTTAAATCAAGTACTGTGTTTATAAATTTATGGTAATAAATTCCTGTGGTGCTTTAAAATTCCATCATCTTTAAGACAAGCCTCTTCTGTGTGATAAATCCCTTTTTTTATCTTCCTCCCTTTTCAGTTGTTTTTGTGGCAATAACAATGTTTATGCAGTAAGTTATTTTTATTCATTCTTCATTGTATTTTCAGTACAAGAGCTGCAGGTTCTTAATGCAAAATGTAAATAAGCGTTGACATTCAAGCTGTGTTGCTTCAAGAAATGCTAGAAGTTTAACTAAATTTAAGTGGGAACTTGACAAATGAACAGAAAAGGTTTTTAAGCATGAAGGCACCATTTTGGGCACAGAAAGTGTCTGAAGTGTCAGTTTGCTGGAGACTGGGAGGGTGTTTTGGGAAATGCTGCTGTTTACTTGTCTATTTCTGCGCTGTTCCCAAGATGTTAATTTTTGACTATTGTAGGAAAAGTGTCCTGGCCTAGAGGATCCATTGTTCTGATCTGGCATGGCTGTTCTTTCGTAGTTACACACTATAGGTATTACCGTGTTCCTTATTGTAACTCATTCTCCTTTTACAATAAACTGTTTTAAGTACTTCCCGTGTGAGCTCTGTGTTTGGTAACTGCAAAATATTGTGTTGCTAAATCAAAGGCACTGTGGAAAGGCCACTTAGCTTCTCCCGCTTTCCATTTGCAGCTTCTGTGTAGGAGATTAGCTTTTTAGCTTTCCCCAGTTTCTTTCCTTTTCCTTTTCCTTTTCCTTTTCCTTTTCCTTTTCCTTTTCCTTTTCCTTTTCCTTTTCCTTTTCCTTTTCCTTTTCCTTTTCCTTTTCCTTTTCCTTTTCCTTTTCCTTTTCCTTTTCCTTTTCCTTTTCCTTTTCCTTTTCCTTTTCCTTTTCCTTTTCCTTTTCCTTTTCCTTTTCCTTTTCGAGTTTGTGCTCACTGTTACTGTTTATGTTACAGTTTGACAAAACCTTGCAGTAACTTACAGCACCTAAATACTGGACAGATCCTTGGATTGTTATGATCTTGGCTAATCAGTTTTAAAATAGCCTGAATACAGATGTCATGGTTCTGTGACATATTACAAGCCCAGCCCTCGGGTTCCAGGACAGAAGAGTTTTATTTGGTGAAAAAGAAGTGGGCATCTTCTCACTCTGTAGTCAAAGGCTGTTTCAGCGCTGTGTAAGAGATGTATGGAGCTGTTTGAGAGTCAGGAAAACCTATTTCCATTGTGTGGCCTTCCAGAACAGGTAAATAGATGCGGCTTACGGCGATTGTGTCCTTCAGGTGTCCTCACAGACCAGCCACACTGGCCCTGTGTTGTGGCAAGTTTCATGTGTGTGTAGGGTACCCTCTTAGCCAGCTGGCATCTTTGTTCCCCAGAGAGACAAAAGGCTACTGATGCAGCAGACACATTTAAATACCGGGCCTTGTGCTAGGAGTGGTGTACAAAGCTCTGATGTCAGCTGTTACATAGTGGCATCTTTTGTGTTTCTGAAGTAGAAAATTATCTTGGCTGCATTTTCAAAATTTGCTTAAATTCTTCTCATACTCCCTTTCTTGTGGGTGGGATGGGAAGGGGAATAGAAGATGCACAAAACACTGATGGACAAAGTCAACAAGGCATTGAATATAAATTAATAATAATAAAAAATACTGCATCCATCCTATAATAATTTGGTCCCTTCTGTACAAAAAATAACGTGGACAGCTGGAGAGGATCAAGAGAAGAGCCACAAAGATAACTGGAGGACTGGGAAGCCTTTCACATGGGAGGACTGAGCTGGATGTGTTTAGCCTTGAGAAAGGATGGCCCAGGAGACCTTATCACTATGTTCCTGTATTTAAAAGGTATCTGAAGAGAAGAAGGAGACTCCCTTTTTACTAGGAATCCCATGGAAAGATGAGGGATGAGAGGTACAAATTACACCTGGGGAGGGTTCTGATTGGACACAAAAGGAAAATTCTTCACAATTAGGACAGTCAGCCATTGGAATGATCTTCTTGAGGAGATGGTGGGTTCCCCAATGCTGGACTCAAAATTTTAAGTCTTGCCTGTTGGGCTGCCTTGTCTAGACTGTGTTTTTGGACCAGAAAGGTTGGACCAGGTTTTCCTTGAGATCCCTTCCAACCTGGTGCCCTATGACTGTGATTAGTTTTGATCTGGTTATTGCTTTTATGATGATCCGCCTTTTGTGGAGTACCGTTTAATTTAGAACACAGATGCTCTGTGTGCCTGAAACATTATAATTTGTGTGGATGCAGCTTTATAACCAAAACTGTTTTTACTTGTAAATTCTTTGTTGATCTGGGTAAATTTCTATGTGCAGGTATGCACAAATGTC